AGGTTAGGGCTGCCAGCCTGAGTAATCCCGTGTGCTAGCCAAAGCAAAACTCCACATATCCCATGGTGCAGAGTCAGGAGAGCCTCCCTTGCTGAGATCCTGTTGTCTCATCAGCAAACAGCTCAACAGGTCAGAGCGGGCCCGGTTTGCTCAGAGCACACCAACTTTGTCAACGATGTGCATCAGGAAAGAAAGCAAGCAAATCAGGATGCTCTCATAAAAAGCAGAGCACACTTCCTGCAGTATGTATAGCAAAAATTCTATTAACATAGATAGATAGATAGATAGACAGATAGACAGACAGATATAGAAAGCACATCACAGCATTTACTCTCTTATAATCTACAAGGCCCTGGATAAAATGTCTTTATTATCTAACCTCTCCGAAGTGCTCACACTGTTCTTGCTCAAACTCTGCCTGAAATCAGAAAATCTGGCCAGGCGCATATGGGCAGGCCTGCATGCTGCCTTATTTAATTACATGTCATGTCTGGATCCCAACTACACCTGCTACAGATGCCTCCTCACACAGACATCACTGTGCAAATAGCAAGACGTGTTTATGTTTCAAAACCTGAGACGGACTTCAAACTTCAGCAAGGTGGTGTGTAGGGGATTCAGTCCGAACTTCATGCACTAGCCACCACCAGACAGGAATCACTACCACAGACACCACACTGAAGGCAGCAGACAAACATTTGTTGTTTCTCATTAGCTCCTAAAGAGCTAATACCACCCGACCCCTGCACCCCTCCAAGCACGGTCTCACCTGCCCTGGCCTCTCACTAGCACAGACGCCTCCTCCTCCACACGGTTCTTCCTGTCCTTCATGGAAACTTCATCCTTCTCACTTTCATTGGGTGGTGCTAGAGGAGTGGCTCCAGATGCAGCGGGTACCAGCCTTGGGTCCTCACAGACCTCACTCCACGCGCTGTCTGGAGAGGAGAGCAGGCCTGGAGAGACCATTGGTGATGCAGGGTGGCTGGATGTTTTGGGGAATGCCTTTCTCTCCACAGACAGAGAGTCCACCAGTGAGTGCTTCTTTCTTCTCTGCTCCTCAGCTTTCTGCAGCCATAAAATCTCCACCCCTTGAAATTCTACATGTTTACTCACAGCTGCCTCTTTAGTGAGCCTCCTCTCAGGACCCATTTGCATTTTACCTTGACTGTGCCCCGAAAACTCCTCAGAACATGCCCACCCCTCCACTCTCCTGGCTGCTTCCCGGTTAGTCACAGATGGTCTGTGACAGCTTTGTTCCTGCACTGCATGGACCTCGTCAGCCTTATTACTAATGGCTTGCAAGGACTCGGACTGCTTTTCTCCAGTCCATACTGCAGCCAGATCTTCCTCTACGACCAAATGCTTTTTTTCCTCAGCTGTTCGTTCAGAAGGAAGAGGCACGTCTGAGAGTTTTTCTTGGCCTCCTGGAACTGGTTCTCTGGCTGCCTGCACATTTTGGCTGCCAGTAACACTCTTTTTTTCCATTTGCGTCTCTGAATCGAGAGAAGTATTTGCTCTCTCTTGCACCTTTGCTGCTTCTAACCGTCGAGAGATTTTCATAATCTCTGGCAGGTTACCCGCAGGTTGCACACCTTCTTCTGGGGCGTGCAGCTGAGCTGCCCCAGCATCAGGTCTCGAATTATCTGCAGGAGCTGCACACTGAGGAATGGGCCTGACGTGGTGGTGACTGTCCCGTCTTTCTGGATGGCGTGTCACAGGCTCTGCGTGGCGTGTCGGTGAAGCTGTCGGCTCGTGTCTGCTTGGCTCCACGGTGCCGTACTCTGGAAATTCATTGATGATGGTATGAGGAAGCAAAGTGCTGCCTCCACGGCCACTACCTGCAAAGAGAAAAAAAAAAAAAAAAAAAAAAAAAAAAAAGAAAAAAAAGAGACCCTGGATTTATCTTCCACATGCACAAAGTAAAAAAAGCCTGACCTCCCTTCCAAGGCCTCTCCTAAAAGAGTAACTACACTCTGCCCAGCAGGGAAAATACCGTTCAGTTTAATTCACTTCTGAACACTCTCACAACTGCAGTTATCCAGAGCTGGTCTTTTTACATAGGAGTTTTTGGGCAGCCCTACTTTGGGAGTGTGCACTACAGAGGAAGGAATGCTAGAAATGTCTGCTACACTTCAGAAAGGGTCCCTGTGGCCCAGGAACGGTCTGAGGCCACAGGCCAGGCGCACAGGCTGAAGAAAGCAGATATTCAGAGGTCTGACATCCATCCAAAGAATGCACCACACATGATGGTTTTACTTAAAAAAGAAGGTTTTAGGTCATTTTCACTTTTAAAGGTGAAACACTGGGGAAGATAATCAGCCACACTCCGCATGTTCCACAGCCTTGACAAAACCAATTAGCTAAATTACAACGCAATTAATGAGCAATTCAACTTTATGCCAGCACTTCCTTTAACAACTCAGGTAGCCGAAGGTCATTTTGCAGTGGTGGATGCACACCAAGCAGTTCCCATTTGCTGTTGCAGCAAATACGCTGCTGCACAGAAAGCTTACCACCCCTCCCTTCCTCATGCTGCTTTTCCAACTGATGTAAACAAAGCAGGAGCAAAAATGGATGGTCCCATTCTCAAAGTGCCAAGCACCCAGTGGCTCCCATTGTTGTGGGTAACAGAGGACCATCTGTCCTCAGAAGGACCTCAGGGATCGCACAATGACGGATAATTGGCCACCTTATGTCATGGCCCAAGGAGAAACTGAGCTCTTGGGAAAAAAAGCAAAACAAAACAAACCAACAAAAAAAAAAATCCAACCAGAAACTGCTGCATTTGTTGCATCCATCTGGGAAAAAAAACTGGCCTGGAGTATAAAATCTGCTGCTTTAAATCAAACAGCACGGTGGCCAGACCCAAACACCTACTCTGAAAAACGTCAGGGTGACAGCTCTGAAACCAGACACCAACATGCATTTGGATGCTTTGCTTCCACTCAAGTTGCATCTCTAGGTACTGTACTGCAAACTGATCACCATCTCCACTCCAGGCAGGCTGGCCACAGGCTGAGGCAAAAGCCATGTAGCTGTGGTTAATGATAGGCTGAGTTCAAGGTGAAAGAGAGGATAATTTAATGCAAGCTCAGCACTGCATTAATGTGGCTACCCTATGTGCCAGTGGTTTGTAAAGACAAGCAGAAGCTCACACCTGCCAGCTCACTATCCAGTATATCTAGCCACAGGGTAATTACCACACACTGTGCGTAGTGCAGGATCAAAGTGACAGACTTGGACTGTGCCAAGCCAAATCTCTTCCCCAGTAGGTTCTCCAGATCTCATCTCCATGTCTTTGATTTAATAACTATATAATAAAAATTCAGTGGGTCGGGTTTCACCCAGATCACTTGGTGGTTGTTGAGGACAAATGACCAGACAAAGCAGGGACCTCTTCTCTCCTGCAAGGTCCCAGGGAGCTGTAAGGAGCAAGGATGCCCACAATTGCATCACCAGACTGCCTTGATGGCAGGGTTTCCAACACGCAGATGTGGGTGCACCCAGGGAACTTTTTCCAGTTCCAAAGCACCAGACAAACAGCTCCCCTTGCACACAACTCAGCCACGCAGTGCTTGGAGCATTCCAAGCCCACACTTTTCATGGCACAGACACTAGGTTGCCACTGGGGGACACTTCCACCAGGACTCACATATGAGATTAATGCTTCGTGGTTGCAACATTCCTACACCTGTATCAGGCCAACTCCAAGCCAGCAAAAGGCCCTGCTTCCCCATCTCACAACCCTGGACTGCTCTAACGCAGCAACCTTAGTGCTTGATGCTCTCTCAGCACTAGAGATGTGTCTGATGTCTAGAGATGGGATTTTTTAGGAGAGAACTGCTGACAGGGAGCCTGTCACTATAGATGCTAACGTAAACCCTTCTTCATGGACACATCCACCTACAGCGACTCTCAGCGTGCAACCCTACAAGCAGGAGGTACCCCAGCTGGGCTCCCCTCATGCCCACAGCACTGTGGCACAGTGCTAGGTCAGGCCACTCTTTGGCTGCATTGCCCAAAAAAAAAAGGTGATGCACAGAGCCCCAGGAGCTGGGATGCCCCGTGCCTCACTCCAACCCACACACCCCGCCTTGTTGGAAGGAAGCCCAGAGCGTCGGTCCCCAGCCTCCTGTGGGGCTGGGAGGCAGCCAATGTGCTCCAGAGGCCAAGCCCTAACAAGGCACCACACACAGACCCTGCCAAGGGGCCAGGCTCTTCTCTGCTAATTGCTGTCTTAGCTTCTGAACCGACACGAGGGAAACAGAAGCAGCCTTATTTCTGGAGGTGAATGCTAAGTGTGCTGCTGCGCGTCCCCATCTGCCGCCGACAGCCACTGCTGACTGTAAGCAATCTTGAGCAAGTTTCTGATTTACTTCTCCTCCTGAACTTCATCCCAAGCAAACTTTACCCTCTGGCAGACTCCAGAAGAGGTACACATACAGAGCACATACACGCACACGTGGGCATGGAGAGATGGGCAGGAGCAGGGAGTGTGTTAGGGGTACTCCTGTCTGCCACACCTGCAAACTGTGTTCCATTTGGGCAAGAGAGCAGAACTTTCACAGTAGAAAATTAAGCTGTTTTCTACAGTGAGATGTCAGCATCCCTGCTCTGGAAGGACTGCTGCTGCTACTGCTGCTCTGTGCAAGCACAAGTCAGTGGGATTCTTACCTTCATGGCATACTGCAGGAATATTGCCTAATTTTCTGTCTGATTAAAAAAAAATTCATATATGGCACCAAAGCAGCATTCTGTCCCCATTATGTTAGGTACCACCATGCACATGACTACCAAGGCCTTCACTCTTTGAGGTAAATCACAACCAATCACCCCCTGCTCCTAAAACAGCAAAGCCTTTCCCTTTGCTCAGAGAGCTATTTCAGGTACCAGAGCTTAGAGGAGCTTGAGCTCTTTAAGGGAAACTCCTCCCTTATTCCCATCCACCACCACAGCATCATGTCTTGCTGCAGCTACTGGCATATCCTGTCCAACCCATCCCCCAATATGACTGCATTACAAACAAGGCTAGAAAGACAACAACAAAATTTAAGGACTGCACTGAAGATGCGCAGGGAAAAAAAACACCCATCACCAAACAAACAAAGAAAGGACACACACTTTCAGGTAACACCAATTTCTACTTTGCATTGAAGGTGGCTTCTTTCAACAAAGGAAAAAAAAAGAAGGAAAAAAAGAAAGAAATGGATAGAGAAAAAAGTAAAATAGAGAGGGGGTGAGTGACTAGCAAACTGAGACGGGGCAAATATAACGTAACAGCACTTGGCAGCCTTTCTGAAGACTAGACGTTGAAAGCATTAATGACTTAAATCAGGCATAGATATGATATTTCATAGGTAAACAACCATTCCATGTCAAGCAAGCTTGTCTACAGCATAATAAAAGGAAATTCTAGGAAGCAAAACACAAGTTAAAAGCATAGACAGACATTTTGGTTACAGGTACATTTTACAAAAGAATGGTGTGAGTGTCTCTCTCTATACAATATATATATATATTAGCTAGCTCGAGAAATTAGATATATTTGCTTGAACAGTCTCCTTACTCACAGAAGTTACTGTAGCTCCAGCAGTTACCCATTGGTCAAAGAAATAAAATGCACAGATCATCAGTTTATCTATAGCGATACCAGCTAATTCAATTGCTGCTGTTCTAGTCAACTGGAATCAAAATAGTTTCAAATTTCCTGGCAGCTGGTGCCCTGCACTGCACACAGTGATGTAAATGGATGCTTTCTGAGTATTATGAAACTGATGGGGGAACTGCAGTCTCATTCAGTCTATCGCAGGAGCTAAGGAGTCCACCTTGGCAGCTTGCAGGGGGGAAAAAAAAACATTTCCTCCAGCAAGGCTGCCTGACGGCATGCCAGGGAGACGTCTGTGCTTAGCTGCTGCCGTTTATTGTAACCGCGTCCGTAAGGGAGGAATCGGGTGGAATGGCGATGCTGAGAGTCATGTGCCGGTTTCGGAGCGCAGGATGCTTTATGGCATTTCAGCATCAGTGAGCTGGAAGCACTCACTAAGCAGCCTAGTCATCTTGCATTTTATGTCTCCGCAGCCCCCTGCGCCGAGCACAGGCAGCACACGGGTGAGCGTGCGTGCGGCGTCACGACAGCCGTGCTTTCTCGGTGTTTCTTGCCACTATTCGTGAAGGGCGAATTGGGGCAAGCAAAAAGCAGTTGAGTGCGTTAAAGACGAAACGAATCTCCAGGTGACAGAGCTTAATGAATGAGTCGCAGGATTTATGGTGTTATATCATTACTGCAGCCCGCCAGAGGGGAGGGTTACACGTATCTCCTTGTCCTGCACTCCCTCAAGTTACAACTTCTTAGGGTCACTAAAACTATTCCAAGTGATAGCCTGCTCGTGCTGAGATGGAGAGGCCGTCCCCCGCGAGAGGGGAGGGATGCTGCACAGCCTCTGGCAGCCTTTCGCAGCAGCCCTTTTTCCACATGATGTCATTCTCCATGCTGTGATAGGTCCTGCCTGGCTGGCGTAGCCAAAGCCAGGGGATTAACATAATGCAAGCACGGTGCTTTTGTAACTGGACTGCAAACGTCCACACCGGACTGGGCGCAGGGTTTTCTGCAGCTTGCAGCCGGTCTAGGTTTTTTGGGCAACTGGCTTGCCCCAAAAAGGGGAAGTGGAGCCAGATCTTCGTCCCTTCTAAAGTTACAGCGGCACTATGTAAAAACAAACTGATGGAAATGGGGAAGCTGAGTGAGAGAGAGAGGGAAGCAGGGAGAAGAGGTAGGGGAGAGCTGTCTAGAAATAAGCCCTGGTTCAATGCCTCTGTGCCTTAGCAGACATGCAGGGAAGATAGAGGGGACCAGAGGTATAGCAGAGCCCACACAGAAGTGCCCACATTGGCTGAGATTCTTCACCTCAAAAAGAGACAACCAGAGGGAGTCCTTGCTGTGGTTACTGGGAGGTTTGACACAGAGCCCAGCAGCATGCACAGGCAGCGTGCTCCTTGCACTCACCATGCTCGAACAGCCAGGCAGTGGTGTGGCAGCTGGCAGCTCAGAGTTACCCAGAAATTAACTGGTTCAAGGAAGAAAATAATCCCCCTGCAAGCACCCAGGGGCAGTGTGTCGCTCAGGAAATCCCCCACCCACAGCTTGCTACATACTGGAGGGGGTTATCAAAGAAGTACTGCTCACCACTGCTCTTGCCCAGTTCCCTAAATTCTGGGGGGGGAGGGGGGGGTTGGGCTACCACAGGCTGTGCGAGGTGTACCTTCAGTCTGCCACAGGACAGTCATGCCCATGCTAGGTAAATTTCTCCCAAATCTCTGCTAGCCCAGTCCCAGAGCTGGAGTCTGGTAGTTATGTGATGGCCAAGTTGTCATGGCTTGAGAAACAGAGTAAGAAAAGCTGCTAGGTCAAGAATGTAGATTCTGCCCATTAAGAAAACACTGACCAAAACAGCATGTAAAATACAGGGGACACAGTGTGTCTGTTTGAGCGTTTGTGTGGGTTTTTTTACAATTGCACAAGTTCTAACCCTGTTCCTCATGGAAAGGCTTATATAAGCAGTGCTGTGACTCGGCTGCATTTTTTTTTTTTAACCCACAATGGTGGGGTAACTAATTCCCAGTGGTAAGCAGGGTTTAGGACCACTTGCATAACCCCAACTGCACTGAATTAAGAGTCCTCCAAAGAGCCCCATACCTTTTGCCCTGCTGCAGGAAGGATGGCACCTTGCCACAGCAGCTCTCAGGCCTACGGTGAGCTCAAAACAGGACAAAGTCCAAAACTAACATGCAGCACGTGCTGAGAGGATTTAGTGAGAAGGATTATCCACTACAAATTGCTGCATGGGCCACAGATGGTCAGTGAGATAGCTCAGTCCCAAGAGTCATTACCCTGGAAAGCAAAATGGTAGAGTGAAACATCTGTTAGCATGAGCAGGAACAGGAGGGAACACAAAGAGAGTATCTGGGCTCCTTATCCTGATGTAAAAGGGTGTGGATGAGTCTTACAATATTCAATGCACTTTTCTTCTTTAAAGCCCCACACCCTGGAGTAACATGGCTGTGAGAATCTCAAGCTTTGGTTTAAGACTTATGTTTGAAAAAACTCATAAACCCAGAATGTAAAAGACAGATCCAAAAAGAATCTGAAATTTTCTATTTTTCTACTGCTGTGATTTAGAAAGGAAGCAGCTAACAGGTGATTTTCTAAGTGTAGATAAACACAGTGGCAGCAAGAATTACTTTAAAAGCTCCCTAAGAGCCTTCAGCTGAAGAACAAACTTCTGGAGTAGTGACAACTCACAGCTGCTTTCACACTTGCAGCATCTACAAAGCCTCCCTAAATCCACTTGTAATTAATGTTATATATTTAAAATATTGTATTTTTAGAGAACCTTCTCAAAACACTCAAAAAATTGCTTTCAGGAAGCAACAATGGCTTTAAAAAATCCCACACTACTACTAGAAACAGATCTCAGAAACTGTGGATTTTTGCAGATCCATCCAGAAACAAGGCACATCTGCAGAAAAGGATGTCCTTTACTGCATTTCAGGGTTTGGGACCAATTAACCAGGCTAAGAGTAAGCTTGCTAAGCAGTCCTCAAAGCACTCCAGGAGCTGGGTATCAACTTACGCACCCAACTAAAACAAAAATAGGACACAGAGGGACATGTGTGTCTCCCAGGCTCCAAGTATTTGTTGCTAAAGGACAAGCTATGCAGTTGGACATTGCATAGTAACTTTTCAGCAAGTTTTCACAGGGAATGAGATTCCCTTCCTCAGGAAGCTGGACAGAGCTAAATAAACAACGTGGGGGTCTAGAGCAGAAGACACTTGTTAGAGCAGTGAACTGTGAACAGGAAAAATACTTGTCGTACGCCGTGTTACACTTCTTCAGGGTGGTAACAGGCCAGAACTGCATCTACCCCCATAATTTTAGTTAAATGCCTTCTCCATGTTCTTATCAAGCCATCTCCAGCAGCAGGTTAACACGCATCATTTCCTTCAGAAAGCTTCAGAAGTGAAGCAAGGCTACAGCACGATGGAGGGTTTGTGTTGGTTTGCTGCCCATCTCACCAGACGATGGGGATGAAGCTAGGGAGAGGAGAGGAGGCCATGGTGACAAGCAAAAATGCAGCTGTGCCCCACAGTACCTGCCTACAGCCAAGTCAGCTGGCTGAGCCTCCCCTGTTGTGCCCACTGACCTGGATGCATCATTTTCCGTCTGCCCAATGGAAGGGAACGGCCTGACTGCCTCCAGGAAAGTGTTGCTGAGCCCTGCCAGCTTCAGTCGAGTTCAGCCTGTGCCACATGTGCTCAGAGCATCTGATGTGGCCAGACACTGATGGGCTGCCAGCATCACCGGGTCCCCAAATATTTCTGCGCTCACATCATCACGGCTCTCAGCTTCAGTGAACAGGCCACAGACTGGGAGGCAATTACTGGCTTGACTCTGGCATTTCCTAACTTCTGAGTGTTTAATTTTGCACATTTAAAAAAACAATAAACAAACAGCCCGTATTTTAATGATTATTTGTACTAAACCCTTGGCCTTCAAACAACTCTGTTGTTTACCAAGTCGAGGATGTGGTAATCTCCTCCCCACAGCTGAAGGTTATGATAACTTGAACTATCCAGCTTTCAAGTGCAGGTCACAAGACATACAATTTCCTCCTGTGGAGCAAGGGACCCTTTAGTTCTCCTCTCCCTGGGACTGGAAACGCAGACATCCATCACACCACACCTGAGGGCCCCAGAGCACACCTCAGCTTCTCCCAGCCCCAGGAAGAGGGACTCAGAAGTTCAAAGGGAGACAGCAGGACAGCTCCCTGTCACGCAGACAAGACGCAGAGCACAGTGCAACCTGTCCTCCTGCACCAACATTAATTTTTCCATGTGCACAGTCCGATGTGACAGTGCTCTTCTGACAGCACTGTAAGAGCTTGCTGCTCTCCAGAAATGACCTGGTTTTCTCCAAGTCGGAGTGAAAGAGGAATACTCAGCACAGCCAGTGAACACGCTGGTGCCAGAGAGGTAATCACTGCTTACAGTGCACAAACTCAGCTGGGAAGTTTTAATACAGTACCTCTGGAGACTTAAATTAAAAAAGTTAACCTTCTTTTTGCATCACTGCCAACCAGCAGTGCCAAACATCAGGGATATCTATGAGAAAACTATTGATTACACGCTGAGATTTAAAAAAACCTGTGGGTCTTCAGAGTGTCAGAGAATATCCCATCTAGTGGGACACTAAAAACAACAACAGCAACAAAAAAAGGCTGAGAGAGTCAAGTATGTCAGCAGGATGATGAAATTATAATTAAGGGGGAGGGGGCACCACAGGTCCGAGCTTTCTGTATTCCAGCCTTGTGTGTGTTCCTGCTAAATGCTGCAGGAGATCTGATGTACCTGTCCTCCACCGTAATTAGGCAACATGAACGTGAAAATCAGGCAGTCCTCCGACCCTCAAAAAATGCAGTTTTGCACCTTTTCAAGAAAGCAGAGTTGCAGAGGAATAAACCAGACCAGGGAGCCCAGACTTTCAGGATTGCCTGGAGATGGAAAGAGCAAGAGATGAAAGCATGACAGAGGGTGGTGCCTCAAAATGGAAAGCAATGAGGTTAGAGCACTGGGCAAGACTACAGTCAGCAGTTTGGGCTGTCATGAGAACAATGTAACGTGAGTGCCTGTGGTCTGAGGGCAGTTTCTTAGAGTGAGGATCAGGAAGGTGCCACTACTGTCTAATGCACAGAGGATGCAGCAGAGCTGGACATGCACGCCTTGAAGTGACACAGAGAAAGCAAGCAAGGCAGAAGATGAAGGACAACCTAGTACGTCAGGAGGGCTCACTTTACACAGATACTAGGGTAATTTTCTTAGGGCTGTTTCAGTCAGCATCATAAGACCATGAAAAGGCTTTGCTTGTACAAAAAAGCAGCCATTGTGTTCTTCCTTTGCTCTTGAAACAGGTTATAGAAGTTCTACAGCAAAAGCAATGATTTCCGTGACTGGGGTTCAGGAGGGGGTATGCTGCATGGGTCAAAGTATGTGTTTGGTTTTGTTTCGTGTGTCAGCTGTGGCATTGTTTGACCCCTTCCATGATTCAGCACACAATGCCAGGAGAAAGTAAGCCTTTTTATTAGAATTGTTCTTCTGGCGTTGTTTGGGGGTTTTTTGTTACTCAGTTTTTGCTGGCTTAAGGTTGCTAAGCAAACAGATGAGCACAAGAACTAGCATGAAACAATCCGTGGCAGTGTGTGTCTGGGACCATCTCTTTTGGCAGAAGCAAGCTGTTAAATGAGCTCAGTTGCCTCATGACACCTCACTGAACACAAAACAGCAACTGACAGGCTTTCCAAAAAGCTATTTGTTGCACCAGGAATTCAAAACCAAGCTTCTTCCAGCAGCTGTTGGGAAACACCAGATTTGCATAGTAACACAGGCACTATTTGTACAGGGCTTTTTTGTGAGGGACGAGATTACACCCTCTGTTACACAGGAGGGATGAAAGCTTTCTCCTCCCAGAAGCATCAGAGAAAAGAATGTTTATTAATCTTAAGAACCTATTTTCTTCCTAACAACAGTCTTGGATTTATTTTCTCATATAACAGGAATTATGGGGTATTTGGCCTTCATGTTTACTTAAGGAATTATTTTGTAGCATCCCCCACTGTTTTCCCCATGAAAGCACTTTTTAGGACTAAGCCATGCTGCCAGGGTTTTTTTTTTTCTTTTTGGTATTTAAACATATTAACTGCAAAGTCATAAAAATTAGGACTGTAACACGCCTAAGCCTAAAGATAAGTCTGTTCAATAGACATCACTGTTTCTGTGGCATTTCCAGAGCAGAGTATGTTTCCATATACAACAAGCACCCTTTATGTCCACGAGTCTGAGAAGATGTCTTGTCCAACCCAGCCAAATTCAGTTTCTAAAAAACATTTTCTTTAGCTGGAAGGCAGAAGGCTGGGGTTTTGCCAGGGAAGGTGGCCAGGCTGTGCAGGGGCACGTGGCTGCACGTGGTGCATCCTGCCTGCTCCCACTGGAAAGCAGCAGCCCCAGGAGAGGGGTCTGCAGGGAGATGTGTGGCCCTGAGCCCTCCCACGATGAGATGAGGGTCCTAGGGCCTTGGACTTCCTCCTGCTCCGAGTAAGGCATTCAGGGCAGGAGGATGGGCAACAAGACAAGAGAGGAGAGGAGCCAGACAGGAGGCACCACACAGTAAAGGCAAGAGCACGAGGGCATCAGCAATCACAAGTATCCCAGACGAAACGAGACTGAGGACAGCAAAGGAAAGAAATTATGAGAAAATTTTTTTATGCAACAGCTTTATTAGCACTTGAATATCATTGATGAAAAACCTCTTCTAGGTTAGATGCTAGAAGGCATCTAACTTTTTATTTTCCCTCCTCTCACCTATGAAAATGAACCACAAGCTTCAACCTGGAAGGTAAAAATCAGCACAGGAGCTTACTAACAAAGTATGCCATCTCCCACCCAGGTAGACAGAAGTATTCTTCCTTCTTTGGCTTGTCTGATTCAAGTGTTTTAGTACTCAATTAAAAAATGCATTCCCTCAACAGCATCCAGCAGAGCTTCAGTAATATGGCTGTGGCAGAAAGGGAAAGGATAAACCAGAAGGCAGCAGTAATTAAGTCATTCAGCAGCTTACATGTTATGTTCTGTTTCTGAGGCCAGTCATGGCACGGGTGAACTGCTTTGGGTTACATAAATTAAAGTTCAGTGTTATTGCCCACAGTGACAAGTTGTTCTCTTGATCAAGTTTAAACACCAACACTTCTCCTGGCCCTGGCCCTGTCACTCATTTGCTTAAAATACTTTATACTTTGACCCCTAAAAAGCCTGTCTTCTTTCTTTTAAAGGCAACTTCAGAAAGTAGCAGGTTTGTTTGGATTTTTGGTTGTGTTTTTTCCCTTCCCATCTAACACAGAGAAGAACAGAGAGACTTTCAGGCATAGCTGCTTCCCCCAGAAACATATGTCATGACGTATTTGACATATATCAAATCAAAAAACGCCAGCATTTGGTGCACAGAGCCCTGGTTTTGTACTGCAGTGCCCTCAGTTACCTCTTCCTCATTCATCTCCAGCTAGTAAGCAGTTAAAGCCTGCTCACTTGAAGAAAAAAGTAGAAGGGGCACTACCACTCTCATTTATCCATTGTGGTAAAACACCTTGGAGGAGGAGGAGGAGGATGAATCTGCCTGAGACAGCATGAGGCCAGTCTGGGTAGGCACAATGTCGCCCAGTTTTTGGGTACAATTAAAAAATGTTACGTGTTAACCACTGTTAAATATTTGGAAACCCTCCCTTGAAGTCACTCCCATTTTGCATTATAATTGTTAGTTCCTAATGGTAGTTTCTCATTAATAAAGGAACCTGAGAAGGACCAGAAACATCTATTTATCTGGCTTACTCTTTGCCACCCTTTATTTTAGGGCTCAGTACTCAGCCCGGAATACCCATCACATGTGATAATTGTTTTGGCTGGTAATAACCACAGATTCACGTGGACTTATTAGACACAGCATACTTTATTTAATACTGATTCAATGCCTGCTGACAGTGCTCTCACACTGCATCTTTCCAAGCAAGAAATGAAGTCATCCTGATTCGTGTAATGATCTGATACACATTTTGTGGCAATTTGGAAAAGCTTTTAAAATTTAAAATTTTGGTGGTTTGGGGTTTGTTGGGTTTTTTCCCCTTTACAGTTTTGGGTTTTTTCACTTTGTGATTAGGATTTCCCAAGTGGGAGACCAAACTTTATAAAATCCCAGAAAAAACTGTTTACTCACTTTCTAGACTTCAGTTCTGCCTTTTTTTTTTTTTTTTTTTTTTTGCCTTTTTTTCTTTCCTTTTCCCTTTCTTACTGAAGTGGAGGAGCCTACACAGTTTGTTTCTGAACAAAGTGCTGCCCTTTTCTGGCAAGAAGGGAGTCTTCTTTAATTAAAAGTGACATTCCAGAAAGTTTGCAATTAGAAAGGATCAAGGTACAAAGAGAACAGCCTGAGGAAATGCTTTTGCAAAGAGGGCAGGGATTGTTGATAATTATGATGAGGCAAGAGAAATAGTTACAATAACTACATTTACTTTCTTCTAAGCTTGGGCTCTGAAAAGGTAGAAAATGCCCTGCACTTACATGAAAAGGACAGGAACAAGACCGATCCTTAGGCATATTAGATATTGCACCTGGATTTCTTGAATTACTAACTACAGAGGACAGAGCAGTTCAGGTACCACCTCAAGTATCTAAATTAAAATCTTACCTACCTCTAGCTGTAGGAAGAGCAGCGTGCAGACCACGAAGGGCATTCCTGGAAGGACCTCCAGGCAGAGATGGCCGTGTTTCAGCACGTGCAATTGCAGAACTCATGGCTGAAACGACTCCGCTGCACAGAAGTGAAGGGATTCCCTCCACCAGTGTGTCTCCAGCACACGAGTCCCTGCTGTCACATCAAGGTGGCCCAGGCGAGCCAAACAGAAAGGTGGGTGTATAACACAGGGAACCACTGTCATTTTCTGAGGCCAAACCAGCAGGGTCCTTTGATCTGGTACTTGCACTGTGGTCTGGCAAAGAGCAGCGTTAGCATAGTGAGCAAGCCCTTGTGGGGTCACTAAGAGAGAAGCTTCTGCAAAACTTTCCTGAATAGATTAAGAGTTTTGGGGGTTTTTTTTCCCATACAATAGTTATAAATAGCACTTACCCATTTCTGAAGGCTTCTGTTCTTCCAAGCCAAATAAAAATTCATATTTGGCCTTGGCAACATTCTGGGCGTGAGCCGATACATCATTATCCCACACAAGTGCTTCTGCCTGTAGAGTCAAAATAAATAAAGCTTATCTACCTTTTGGTGAAAAAACAGCAGCAGGAACGTGAAATCCTTCCAGGTGCGCTGTCGGGAAGGATTTTCAAAGTATTCATTTAACTCTGTCACCGCCAAGATCATCCAGAGCAGACATGCGCCAACTCAGAATGCTTTTGAAGAGCTTGCCTGTCTTTGAACCCAAGCATTTCAGCATTAAGCAGTGATGTCAGAGCACCCAACCACTTATATCTTTAGCAGGCTTACCCACTGCAAGGGCAGCAGCACTGGCCAACTGTGTCAGTAATACCAGTTAGGGGTTAAAAATGTCAAGGGAGTAGTATCAGAAATAGCAAATTTGAATATGTACGTCACAAAACTGGGACCCATGAGAAAACCATAAATGGGGCAGGCTGTTTCTTTGAAGAGAGGCTGGGGCAGAGAAAGGGAGGAAGGAAAAAGGGCTACAGCAAGGATGATCAAAAATGGGAAAAAGGGATAAGGTATGCAAACGTGTGGCGAGTACCGTCTGAGGGTCCCTGTTGGACAGCCCACGCCTGACTGCCCCTGTCTAGCTCAGGACAATAGCCCAACCTGGTTTTATAACCACACAAGTCAAACCTGCTTATCTGGCCAGGAGGCAGGGAGGAGGCACAGAGTGGTGAAGCCAGCTAGTCCTGGGCGGGGATGGATGGACAGATGAATTGAGCAACCCCTGCCCACCCAGGTCCGGTGCCACCAGCACCTTCACCCTGCTCCCTCCTTGTTAAGAAGCAGTTTGAGAGAGTAAAGGTCCAGTTTCTCAGAGGAGATAAAGGCTGCAGGACTAAGATCAAAATACCTTTCTGAACAGGTGGGGACAAATCAAATCCCCAAGATAAAGCACACACCAGCAATAAGCTGTAGTGCAAAAGCTATCTGCAGTCGGCTTTAAGTGTCTCCCCAGCTGGGCAAGACGGAGCTCGTAATTCTTCCGTTTGAAGTGACAGATGAAATAAATCATTAACTCCGCAAATTCTTCAGTAAACTTTATATTCACGCTCTATGTTCGAGGCACTCAACTGTTGCAGCATAGCAAGTCGTTGCATCGTTCATATTGAAGACCTGAGTTTACAAAAATATTCTTAAAAAAAGAAGTCAGATGGAACATTCTGCCCCCCCAGGACAACAATAACTTTTATGCATTTCTATCAAATACCTTAGGAGAAGCGTCATCTACAAACATAAATTCAAAGTACAGGGGACATGTAATTCACAGGTCAAGGCTCTTTAATCAGCAATGGATGGAATCCATACATTCCTCCACCTCTCCAACAATTACATTTTCTTCCACGACCATATTGGCAAATAGCTATCTTGCCCCATGCCCTTGAACGGTTTTGCTCCAGGTTTTCCTGGCCTGTTACTCCATTTCTACTCCTGCCTTTCTGCACTGCACTAGTTCTGCAGGATTTAGTCCAACACCACTCTGTCCGAAATAGGCAGCAGATCTTACACAGGGGTCTTGGACAGATTTATTTGGACCGTTCACTGGTCCAACTACTCATCACTAGAGCTCTGAGTACTTTGATGGATGTGCTAACACTAGGCTACCAAATCCTTTGGAAAAAATGTGGTGAAACAGATGAAGGGTTTTCTAGCACAAAGATGACTTCCATGAGCAAGACAAAATGAGCTTGGAAAAAGCCTCCATGTCTCTCCTGCTTTTACAGGGCTGCATTTGTTCACAGGAAGGGAGGCATGAAGGGCTAGAGGAGGAATAGCTGGACCCAGAGCTCACACAGGAGAAGGCTCTTGTCTGCAACAGCTTGGACAGGAGTAGCTTACAGAGCCAGACAAAAATTCAACCTACCCAGATATGGATGTGGAGGGATGGGACGGCTAAAAACTAGCTGGTGCCAAATCCCAGTCACGGATGAATGAAATGGAAAATAAAATGAACAGAAGAGTCCAGTTCCTGAGCAGTCAGGAATTTCTGATCTATGCACCTCTGGGACACAGTATTTCCATACCTCAGCCTTGCTTTTTGAGACTTCACAGACATCTGCTGCAGTGAACATCCCTGCCAGCAAACACATGTTCCAAGGGTCTGTATTTGCCTGCACCTCATCGTAAAGCAATGGAGAAGAGTCTGGTTCACAGCACCCTCTGCATTGCCCAATAACAGGCAGAAATAAGTTGTTAGATTAATGGGGTTTCCATGTACTGGGCAGCATTTATCAGAACTAGGTGCATAAAGAGAGGCTGCAAGACCCTTGTCTTGGCATCTGAAAGGGATAACTTGATTTTCAGAAGTGCTCAGCACCACTGATGAGAATTACAGATACTGGCTTGTGTATGGGAACAGCTGAATTTAACATCTATTTAGGCTGTCAGAGCACTAAAAGGAACTGTGTAAAGAAACTCCAGATCCAGGCTTAAGGAAAAAGTTTATCATATTTCATCCAAAAAAGAAATATTAAAAAAAGAACACAAGAGAGGGAGAGAACGAAGACACTGAGTTCAGAGCTCGATTTTAAGACCGCTGATTTACCAGTGTTCAAATCAAGAGTGTGCTCTCCTTTTCTTCTTTCAATCCACCACTCACCCAAGCCTTGCAGAGGTCAGCATGCCCTGAAACCAGGATCCCAGAAAAGGCCTGGACAAACATTCATGGTGCTTTCCAAACTGCATTAGCAAAGATTAAATACAAGCAAGATTGAAAGGGATATAAAACTCCTGCTTAAGCCTTCTCTCTCAGCTCAAGGGCAAAGAAATCTGCATCCAGGTCATCTCATTTCATAATTGCTTCCCTCAGAGGGCTTTAACCACCACCTTTGACGCATCTGGTCTTTGTCACTCCTGGAGAGGGTGACACTCAGAGCATCAATCCCCTTAAATCAGCCCAGCTGTACATACAACATATCTCATGAGCCACATACCCACTATTTTTCAGTCTGATTATGGTCCGGGCAGAGAGGCATCAAGCTTCTGCCCATTTATGCATCACTCTTGCAGTGCTTTCTGCCTGTTTGAACATGTTTCATCAAGCCTACTTCTCTCCGTCACAGTTCCTGGTCGGGAGTTGGGGCAGCTGCATTTGCCTCTCAGTGAATTTCAGATAACATTTATGAGGCTGCATTAGTTTGGCCTTGGCAGCCCTCACCCCTCAGACCTCCTGCCAACACACCAGACCAGTTTCTGCTGACCCTGCAGAAGGCACTGGCATGGTCATTACAGGTGTCCCACCTTGCTGGCTTTCTGTTCCTTGCTGAGGGAGCAGAGATTGTTCAGGATATGGCACTCATGGTGGTTTCAGGCTAGTACAAGAATTGAAGTTGCTGAATCCATGTCCAGCAGGAGCTGCCAAGGACAGATATGTTGGCCCAGCTGCCTCTGTTCTGCTGTCTGGAGGTGTGAACTGGGGCTGCGGGGCAACATCTGCAAGGAGAAACTGTTCCCACAGTTCACCCCTGAGAGGTGCCTTTAGGCAGGCCCCCAACAAGAGCTGCTGCCTCTCTTGAAGCACAGTTTCTCTCTCATTTCAGCTTCAGTCATGAGCTCCCCTCAAAATGCCCTCCCAAAAATCCCAGTGGTTTTTAGATAAGCACAGTGAGTCATAAAAGCCCGAAGAAAATGCTTCTCCTTTCTCCATGGAAGAAAAGCACTGAAGCATCCTCTTTTGAATTTCACTGAGGTTCTGGTTGGGGCCTTTTTTGGGACAAACTGTTTTCTTCTTGGAGCCTTTTTTTTTTTCCATACCTACATGTCAGAGAGCATTAAATGAAGAGTATCAAAGTCTTGTTCTCTCACCACCATTTGCAGCTGAGCTTGACAGGAGAGCTAGGCTCCATCTCAGTGGAAGGGGATGACATTGTCCATGGCTGCTGTGACAAGGAACAGGTCAGTCTGAGCACAAGGAGCCAGTTTGAACCCATGCCTCCTGAAGTATTCACACTTAAGGTCATATGTTTTCTTCAAAAAAGCCTAATAAGGAGGAGTTTTTCAAAGGAGCAGATAATTAAATTGCAAATGTCAGTTTGGAGTTTCTCAGACTCCCTCAGAGGACAGATGCTGTCAAAATAGACTGAATTCTTGCAGGCGACCCATGCTTGAGGAACAGCAGAATGGGATGGGTGCTCAAGCACGAGTCTTCAGGGAGCGAGAGCTAGCCAATATTCTGGACAGCAGGAGTGCACTCATGCTAAAGGAAAACATCAGTAGGAAGTGGCCTAACAACCTTTCACAGAGGGCTGTTAGCTGGGACAGAGAGGTCAAAGCGTCCTCAGGGAGACCCCTACAAGCTTGCTTAATAAAACCCAGCCACCCTGTCCCCAGAAAGAAACATTACTGGAATTCTTCTAGGCTTATTGGAAAATGTGGAGGGACTGGCCAGTTAGGGTGTGGGTCTCCACAGCTAAGCCATACCATGAAGAAGCCTCGGGGGAGCCCCAGTTTTACACATTTTGCATGTGCACAGCTGCTTTTTCCAGAGCTGAGTGCCCTCCCCCTTGGCCACACCACTGCTGGATGTCAGCTCCCTGCCAGTAGGCAACAGCCCCTGCACTGGCAGCACAGTGCTTCCTGGAGGTTTCATTGAGGCTAGCGGGGAGATGCTGCAGTGGCTGCAACAGAGCTGTTGGCACTACTCAAGGAAGCAGCATTTCTAATCCCAGGCTGTGCTTGCTCCATTCTCATTGCTTCATCAGCATCTCTGGTGGCAAAAAAACCAAGTGCCTCTCAGCAGCCTGTCATATACCTCAGTACAGTGAGGTTATGCTCTCCAGAGGAGTGTAAACTTGTACCTTCATCTTGTCTTTTGCACCCCAAAGTCTCCCCAGAGACTGACAGAAATACAGTAACTGGTAGTGGAGCCAGCTTCAAAAAAAAAAAAAAAAAAGGGCAGGGGCAGGAATGATGGATAGAAGGGTTCTACAGAAGTTCCCAGCCGAACAAAAGTACTCTATGAGTCAAGCTACAGTGCCATGGTCAAGTTTTTATGGAATCATGCATAGAGAGCTCTGCCTCTCCTGTCACACACGGACAACCCCCCAACAGTGGCCAACCCTTTTTTTAAGCACCATTATCATTCCTGTGTATCATTCAGTAGCAAGCCTCACTGCTTTTGACAGGTCATAGTAATTGCCCTGAAAAGACTACTTCTGTTAAGCTTGTCTTAAATCACTTTCCTAAGTAACAGGATGAAATTCAGAAAGCCGGCATTAAAATAAACTTGCTGGCTGGTGAAACCTAGTGCACTGACAGCACAGAGACACTGTGGGTGCTTTTTCTGTGGGACTTCAAAAAAAAAAAAGACTGCTAGCGGAGGTTTGTAGTTTTTAATTGCATATGACCTCATGCACCACATTTGTGTTTTCCTCACACCTCCCCACCACTACTATACATGCTTGCAATTCTGGAATTGAAGCATAAGCAAAATAGATTAAGACTCGAAAGAACAGGATTTTTGCATGGTTAAACCTCAGCTGGACCTGCCAAAACTTAATGCTAGCCAAAGTTTTGGAAGAGATCTCAGCCCGGGTTTTAAACTAATTCCTAACTATCAGAAGTTGCAGGGAGATACGTATAGAGCCAGAAGGTGGGGGAGGAAAGAAAGGGCTTGTATGAGAACACTGCCTATAGCCGTTGTCCAGCAGAGAAGTTTGGAATCTAGAGAGGGATAGCAAACTCATCTAAGACTTTTCAGCTACAGGAAGGAGGCAACTGAGCGACATGTGGCAGAGGTGCCTGCAAAGGGCCTGAAAAAGACAAAGAGCAGTCGGTAATTCACCACCTTTTTTAATGCAACACCCAGAGTACAACAAAATGAGGTATTAGGAGTCAGCATCACACCAAACAGGAGATAGTTCCTCATACAGTTTGTAGTCAAAACCACCAACCTCCTTGCAAAGCAATGCCACAGAAACTAAAACACTAAGGGACCTAACAAGGAGGGTGAACAAGCTCAAGTGACACAAATCCACAACAATACGTAGAAATTGCACCCTTCTCATGAATCTCCAAGCTAAACACTTTCTAGGCATCTGCAACCTCATACATTGTCCTGGGCTAAAGTGACCTCGGGATGTGTTTACCGGGAGCAGGCTCACAGTAAGCAATCAGGCTGGAGAGAGCAAAACTGAAACGGTGCAGATACTATCAGAGCTGCTCTCCCTGCTCAAAGGCAGACTTCACAAAAGTTCAGTGTCTAAAGAGAGGCTCAATGCAAGAATAAACTGCTTAGAAAAAAGCATGGAAACAGTGACCAAAATAAATAAAAGAAAAAAAAAAAAGGATGCCTTAGCACTACTGTCAAGCAGTTGCAGGTGAAATTTGTTTCCAGACTGGTTGCCTTGTTGTACACTTGCACTTTGAGTTTTTCTCCCCTTAAAGAAAATGTTTGGTTTGTTGTTTGGTTGAAGCTGTTAGGAAGCAGTCAGCTGTTATACAGAATTAAATGCTTTTTATTATGCAAAGGCTGATGCTGTCTGAGCTGTAACTGCATGAATGTGAACAGCATGTTAATTGAAAGTCTGTATGATTACACCTTACTATTAAAGGTCACTCAGCATTTTGTGTTTGCCAAGTCAGCGCTTTTTGATGCGTGCTGTATGGACCTCTGGATGTCTATGCATTATTTCTAAGGTATGTGCAAGAATCAAAGCAAGCCCATTGAGAGGTAGGCTTTAGCTCTCTGCATGAAGGACCATGTTCTTAGATATAAAACATAAAAACAAAAAACACCCCAAACTTTTAACAAAGCCACAGTGCAAGTATTTTTCCTGAGCTATGCCTAGGAGCATTGGGGTGGGGGTGTGATTTAAGAAAAAGACAGCATCTCTTATTCAGAGAATTAAGTGATGCTTTTAGTAGACATATTGCATTTACTGGTTTTGATCAATCTGTTCCAAGTATATTTAGCAAACTGACAGACTGCTTCTCTGCAGCAGGTAGTGTGCTTCCATCATATTTAGGCATCTCAGATGGCAGAACAGTGTTTATACAGGCTACAGGTCTGCTCCACACAGATTTCTACTCCATGGAAGCTAAAATTTGGATACGCCTAAATGCCTCATGAGCCTACCAGAAGCTACCTCTGTGTCTTTAAGCAACTAAATTCTTTCCAAAACACATGCCAACATCTGCTGTCCCTTGAAAGCTTGCAGACCACATCCTTTCCCATGTGCTGTACAGTCTCTGTGTCCAGCTAAATATACACTGCTTTTATGGATGGAAGTAAAGGACAAGGTATTGGGCAAGCTCATTTTCATTTTTCAAATCAATATTACAAGCATGGTTTAAGGTAGTGTCTCAAAGTGATTAAAATACTCAATTACAATGAATGGTAAAAAAAAAAAAGGAAAAAACCAGAAACAAAATAAAAAATAAACAAAAAACCACAACAACGTCACAAAAATCCAAACAAACAAAAACCCACACAAAACAAAAACAAAAGCAACGCAAACAAACAAACAAAAATGCCCCACACCCAACTCCCAAACCACTCTACACAGGAGCCCACTGGAAGAATTTACATTTGCAAAGGTGTAAAAACCTGCATTTTCTCTGTGGCAAAAGCCAACTGTAGAGCTGCAACACAGCAACAGAGCGTGCAAAAAGGGACATGTAGCTCCCTCTAACTTAAGACATACCTCATTGATTCTGCATGATTATTTCATATCATGTATTTAAATTCATTTTGCAGCTTTCATCTAAACTGTTCTTTCTCAGACTTAACTGGATTTAACAGTTTTTCGGATCAGAAGTTTGACTGAAGTTTGATCTGAGCCATCTTCCCTCTGGCACAATTGAGGCAGAAGCTAGAAGTGACATCAACAAATTTCTCCTGAAGTGCAAGCACTGGGGGCCTGAAAAGACAAAGTTGCAAGAGTGTTTGCTTGCTAAGGAAGCGCATGCTAAGGACTGCAGCATCCTCAGACAGCTATGGCCCTGTGAACAGCCAGGACCCAACAGGCAGTTTCAGCCGTGGCAAGAAGGCAGAAGACATCAAAGATGATGCATTCCCCACAAGCAGCACAACACAGGCCAGCTGGCACTAGTGTCCCACTCATTAAGTCACAGCAAGTCCATAGACAAGACAGCTGATGACAACCAGAGCTCACTGGTACTAGAGTTTGTTTTCTTTTGAGAAAAGGGCTTTCCTGGTAAGTGTTCTTCTGTTAGCACTGACATGCAGCCATATCCCAGGCTTAAGTGAATCTTGCCATCACACTTGGCATTTGTTCAACCTAGGAGATGCAGTTACGACTCACATGACACTTCCTATTTGAAAACTGTTGTAAAAAGATAATGAATATATTTTGGAGGTAAGCCACCTCTTCCAGTGTGCCATTTCATGCCATGAAGAGAAAGCAAGCCCCATTCATCACTTCTGCAAAAAGGGAGGCTTGTACTATGTAATCTGTGCCATTTAGGTGGTTTTCTTACTGCTCCCAAACTACTGCATCACGGTCTCAAGACGATGCCCTCTTTTCAGTCATAGAATCAGAGAATCATAGAATATGTTGAATATGGAGAGGACCCATCATGACCAACTCGTAGCCCTGTGCAAGGCAGTCCTTTTACCAGGTGGCAAAAAGCTGCAACGTGACATCCTCAGCAATCGTGACAGTGAACAGTATGCTTCCACCCGGCAGGCCATCCTAAAAAGCCAGCTCCAGCCTGGTTTCCATCAGCTTAGCCCAGTAGTCATGGCACAGAAAGTCTCTGTGTCCAGTTAGGAAGGGAGGCACAGCAAACGCCATGCACTTCCCACAGCCAGCACTGGCGGCTGAGGCACTCAGTGGAGGGGAAGTGCAGTGCTCATGCTCTGATGGACAGCATGATCCCTGAGGACAGCCTGATCCAGTGCCCAAACAGGTTGTTTAGCTTACAGCATCCAGGAAGTACAGTCAATTCAGGAGCAATTCAAGCTTCAAGGGCTAGATAATACCCGAGCTCCTCTGCTCTCCTGATTCAACCTAGCCCACACCCAGAGGGCTACCCCACCCTACTTTCAAGCATCATCCACAACCTGCATTGCTCATCCCTGTAATGCAGTGAATAAATGTTTGGATGCATTAGCATCCCAGGAGTTTGTGGTCTCGGAGAGGAGCTGGTACAACAGCAAGAAACAACTCAGAGCAAGGAGGAGCTGCATTCAGAAAAAGCATGTGGAAACACACTGCAGAAGGATACTTCAAACAGTGCCATTCCTGAGAGGAAAAGGACACTTATGTCCAGAATGATAGTGTCAGGCACACACTTTGAGCTGGTCTGAAACAGCTTTTTCATCTGACAGAAGCATACAATTTCCATCCCCCCCAACCTCATGTCACTGCAAACAGGAAAAAAGGACTGGAAACAATCTCTCTTACCACAGGTATGAGGGGACAGGAATGCATTTAGAAAGATATTCAGAAGATGCAAATCGCACAAGACCTAAATTTGTTCATCTGCAGACAATTTTACAACCCACCAGGATGCAAGGAACCCCCAGTTCACAGAGTGGGTCTGGGTGGGACAGCCAGATTGTGAAATCTCTGCTCCACTACAAGCCACCTTTCGATCAGGAATCACTTGTGAAGAAATGTCCCTTCAAAAACAGTGGGTGGCACATATCCCTGCTGAGCCCAGGGACATATTTCCCACCTTTTCTGGCTAAGCCCACAGTACTCACACCAAATAACTTTAGCAGCTGCTGCACCCTGGGGATCCTCAGAACCTGGAACACTGAGCTGACCCAGAGCAGGATACTCTGGCTGGTGGCTGACTGCCCCAACCTTCGAGCTTTGGCAGCAGTTCACGGGTTTGTCCAGCCTCAGCAGCTTGGCAGATGGCTCTCTGGTACCCTGCAACCCACCTAATCTTACTCTGCAGACACTACCTCTCCCTCCCTTCCTCGGGCTCCTTTCACTAAGCCACTACATTGTGCTACCTCTAAATTATCTTTAAATCAGCAACCAGCACTACCCCAGTGTCTTGCTCTCTCTGAATGCCCTCGCAAGCAAACAGAGACTCTCCAAAAAGAAACGCATGCAACGCCTCAGAAAAATCACCCCAGCCCCCAGGTCTGCCAGCCTCTCTCTCCATGGAGCAGGGATCGTTTCAAGCAATCAACTGTCCTGCATGTGCAAGGACAGTTTATCAGCCGTGGCCAAAGCATCCTTTCCTTTGCACCGGTGGCCTTGCGTGGTGAGTGACTTGTGCTGCCCCAGCGCTGGAACTCCCAGCACTTGGCCCAGAACACACCCATGGAGACAACTGCCTGCAGAGATGCTCCATGGCACTAGTCCGTGGTATTCCCACAGAGAGCCTGCCTCTTCAGCCCACAGGAATCAAACCCCAAACCATCTCTTACATCAAAAGTGCAAAACCAATTGCCACACTTTCCAGGTGCGATGGGCAAGAATAGAAAGGGCCGTTCTGGGGTGGAGGCAGGGAGGAGAAATACTCTGAACAACATCCATGTCTTTCAGCTATGCAACTTGACATCAGCAAAGAAAGTCTTGCTGAAAAAGTAAAACCCACTAGCATGTTCATTAGGATCCTCACTGCTCTTTTCCTTCTCAATTCGATGGCATAGAAATGGAAATAGTAAATCAAATAACCTGCTCAAGCACCAACAGCAGTAGAGGACCACTTTCACACAAGTCAGTTATGCAAGAATTTTCTGTATGGATCAAGAAGTCCTAAATTTTTTTGTTGTTTCAGGTTTTGAAGACAGCACCATGTAAGTGTCCTGGAACTGTTCTTAACATCACCACTACCACAAAGGATGTTCTTACACTCTGCAACGACCAAGGATGTAAATGAATGGAAGCATTCGCACAGGGTCTCCTACATGGTTAACCTCACCTCTCTCCCATCAAA